AATTAAAATAAATTTTAACTATTTTTAATTCCTGTACAAAAAACATTCTCACTGTTTTTTTTTTAAATATTTACTAAATAAATATTTTTTTATTTTTATTTTTATTTTTTACTTTTTAAAATACGTAAAAATCGTTTTAAAAAATGATTCCGCACAAAAAAATCGCAATTTATTAATCATTGCTCGCAGGCATCACTATGCACCCTTAGAACTAGCCTTTCTTTAACTTCATTTTTTTTCCTTCGCTTAAATACCATAGAAACTTTCTAATAAATTCTATGCTTTGTCGCGTGGAAAAGCAGCCAGTGTCCATAACATCATTAATATAATATTAACAAAAACTTTGAGCATCCTGTTTTTTTTTTTTTTTTTTTTTTTTTTTAAAATTAGTCCTCTGTCCTCAACCTCATATTCTCACATGTTTAGTTTATGTATTTAGAATCATAATTTAAAATTATTCTCATTTTATGTGTATTTTTTATGAAAGAAAATATTATAAAAAATCATAAATCATGATTTAAAATTGAGAACGAATATAAAAAACAAACACTCATCAAAATTTTTTTGGGTGATTTATGCTTATGTCATCATTCTTTTATATTTTTTTGTTACAATGATGTTTTATATATTGAAAGTACTCACGAAAGATACATAATATAATAGATTAGTAATTTTTATGTTTTGTAATTGTTAAATGGTTCTATTGTTCTGATCATTAGTGTAATTACTTAGGCCGTTTAGTATGAAATAATTTTAAGAGTAGGGATAGAAATCTGAAAGATTTCTATATTTGATATAATTATTAAATTTTTTTAAAATCTAAAAAAGTGAAGTCATGAAATTTACATTATTATATTTTGAAGTAATCTTAAACTCATTGTGTTATTCACATTTTCAGAAAAGTTATATCACGGAAATAAAAGTTCCGTTCATTTCACCGATTTGAGTTTAAAATTCGAGTTTTGTTACAGTAAAAATCTCTCAAAAACAGTCATATTTAATTTTTTTACTAGAGTAAAAAATTTTCACATAAAATCATATATCAATTCGAATTATAAACTTGAATAAGAGAAGGGAATGGACAATCTCTCTCACCCATTTCTTCTCAGCCCATCAAAATCTCTTGGAGTTCCTTGCAGCAAATCAATCTCAAACTGGAGCTAACAAACTCGTCCTCGACCAATCCAAGCTTCTTCGCCTGAAAATTTCCAGAAGAAGAAGGAGGAGGAGCGAAGGAATCGGCAAATTCTCCATCAAAATTTCAACAACTGTGTAAATTCTCCATCAAAAGACCAAAAAAAAAGAAGCCGAATCAAACACAAGTAGAATAGCTTAGAACAACAAATGGGTATTCATCAGTGAGGCATAAAGTGGTAAAGCAGAGACAAAAAAAGCGCTCACATAGCAAAAGAAGCGACCCATTTGAGAAAAGCAGTGCCAAATCCCAATCCACCAAGTTTAGTGGCATCATTGATCAGCCTCTGGGCAGCGATCTTCAGCTCGTTGATATCAGAATTTATCAAATTAGCCGTGGCTGGGTCCGTTTTCATGGCCAAATAATCGTCCCCATTTCAGCTTTCTTTCTTTCTTTTAGATCTCAATCCAATGATATTTTACCCAAAACGAGAGAAAAACAGATAAACAAATTGATGAACTTTTTTTTATGAACTGTGTGGAGTGCCCTGGTTTTCGGCTTGAGTGTGAGGGCTTGTTCATTTCACCGATTCGAGTTTTCAGTTTTAAGTTTTTACAGTAAAAAATTTTTAAAAAATGTCACATTTAACTTTTTCTGTTATAGTGAAAAACTCTAATAAAATATCACATCTCAACTCAAATTAAAAACTTGAATCTGCGAAGTGAACGAGGCCTTAGAACATTCTTATTTCTATGCACGATCAAACATAATAATGTATTATTTTTAAGAATTTGAGATAAGATTCATGCATGAAACTAAACACAATAATGTATTATTTTTGAGAATTATATTACCCTCTATTATTTTCTCAAAAATATAATTTTTACTGATTATTACGTACCAAACACCCTTTTAGTGCATAGTATTCTTCGACTCATCGTTACTTTCGATGGCGAAGATATCATTGACTGTGAACCAATATTAGGCTACTTACTTTGAGAAACGGAAAAAAATTGTGGAAAGCCGAATAATAATACAATATCTGTCTTATGTAATGCGTTAAGAATATTTAGTTATTACGTTAACAGTGTAATAACTGTAAATGGATAGAGTTATTGGGAAATACCCAAGTGCCTAAAAGAGGCAATTATAAATTAAAATTTTGAACAAAAATAATTTGGAGAATTTATTAATTTGAGCTTAATAAAACAAAAGAAAAAAAAAATAGAGATGAAGAATACCAAACAAGGCATGTCAAATAAAGTATTGTCTTTTCTATGCTTTTTGTGTAAAATATGTAGATTAAAGCATTTAATGTGGATGAAATACTTGTTTTGTATAAAATATGATGTAGATTAATGCATGATTCTTTTGCACTATAGAGTATTGATAACTCTAGGAATTAGAGTTATTTTAGGCATTTATAGGCTTATAGTTGGCTCATCTAAAAGTTTAGTTGTTCGTTTTTCTGTTTTATTTGTTCAACTTTTAGTTCTTGTGATATACTCTGTTAAGATTTGTTTGTGTGCTATTTCTGTAGTGATTTTGAAGAAAATTGAATCAAATAAAGAGCTGATTTGTGTCTAAGGGGCGTTGTTGTGATATGCATGAATTGTGAAGAAAAATGCTGCAATAAAAATATGGCAGCAGACAGTTAATTGATGACATCAGCGCATGACTCTGCAAGAGAAATAAGACAAAGTACATAGAAGGTGGAATTGGAGCTTAGTTAGTTGGACCCAATCACTCAGTAGGAGCCACCTCAACGTCCTTTGTTACCCTAATGAGAAGTACACTCAATTTTCTTTGTGGAGCGCAACAAGAGAGGGTAGAAGAAAAAGGAAAGAAAGAAGAAAAAGAAAAAAAGTACCGAGTGAGCTAAGAGAGCAAAAACAGACCAGTGAGAAAGAGAGAAAGCAAGGACAAGTATTGGAGGAGACGAAAATTGGAGCTGAAATCTCAAGGAGTGAAGCTACAAGAAGAGACTACCAAGCTTCATTTTGTATTTAATGTTATTCTCCTAATTTTGGTTTATTCTTCCTTTTCCTCTGTGCTTGAATGATGGCTATTTATTTTGTTGCATTTAACAAGACAATTATGAGCTAAATTTATTTGGCTGAGATGATAAAGTACTTGGATTTGTAATTGAAATTGTGTATGCTCACTTTGTTATATTCATGCTGATTTGGTTTGTTCAATATAATCTCCTTTGTTAATTTTTGTTTATTGACTAACTATCTTGAATAAAATACTATGATTGCAATTGCTGAAAAGTTGATTAGAATTAGACTAATATTGAACAATGTGAGTTTAGCTTAATTTCATGGAAAGATCTAGCTAATTTGCAAGTAGTATAGGAATATACACTTGCCTCACATAGCTCAATTGAAACCCAAGCTTAATGCAACCTCTCTATTTAAGAATAGCCCAGATTGCAGAAAAGAGGAAATTGAGTCCCAATCTTTCCACCATAGATTGATTTTTGTCTCTGTTAGCTAAGTCCACATTTTACCAATTCTGATTATTTTAATTTTTTTTAGTCCACAGTAGTTTTAATCAAACTATTAAAATTAGTTTACATTGTATTTGTGGAATTTTATTTTAAAAAATAATAACTTTCTCCGTAAAAACGATACTCTACTCGTTTACTTTATTATTTGTTCAGCACGTGCACTTACACTTGCGTAGCGATTTTTAGTCAACAAATTTTTAATGCATGATTCTTTTGCACTCGAATAGAGTATACAAGTTCTTATATGTCTTTCCTTTTCCCCATAAGAATTATTTATAGGGTCAAAAGAAGCTGATGAACGACTACCTAGGAACCAATAGAACTCTACCACCCATCAATAATTTGATCGAACGTTTGCTTTTGCTTTTATTAAAAAAAAAAAATCTCGTTCGAAATCTTTATGTCACCATGATGATTAAGAGATTATATTATGTCAGAATGTGGAAATAACGGCATCAGTAGAACTGTTAAAAGAATGTGGAAATACTAGCATCAGTAGAACAACGATCTAATGGAGATTACGAATCGATGTGGTATGTTTTTACGACGGTTGAAAAAGGGTCTTGAATTGAAGTTATTGAATGTCCATATTTTGAGATGATTTTTAACAGTCATATAATGTATACGTGTGAGCCTAGACGCTGCTTCAAAAATTGCACTTTTAATGTTTGTTACTGCAAAAATTGCCGTAAACAAGCCACATAAAATGACAATTTTCATAACCGTTGTCCTATGTATATTTTCATGACAGCTCTCACAAGAACCATCGTAAACGCGGTCCAATAACCAAAAAAAAAAAAAAAAAAAGGAATCTTGTCGGTAACTTTTCATTACTATTTTGTAAGTAAGCAAATGATGAGATGTGAAAGAATCACTTTTCATTCCCATTTTCCCTCTCATGCTACTTTATTTGTAAAATCCAATATTATAACTGCTAATTATTCATCATAAGTCCCTTCCTCATGCCGGAAGCTCATGGATAGCACTAAAACCGACCTGTGAATAGGCTTGTAGAATAACCAAAACGTTGAAAATAATGGAGAATTTACCCTTAAGAGTGCATAAGTCTAGACCTTTATATCTTCTCTTGATAAATACACTTTTATTAGAGTAATTATTTGACTAAAAAGATTATGAATCAAGAGTAAAAAGAAAAAATCCTAACTTATATACTTTTGAGATATATTTGTCAAGATTACCCCAAAAAGTTTGAACTACTATAGAGGTAAAAAGAAAAAGAAAAGTCTGGAAAAAAAAACAAAACACAATTTTTTTCTTTAAAAAAAAAAAATGCCATGTTATCGTTTTTGTTTAAAAAAAAAAAAAAAAAAAAAAAAAAAAAAAAAAAAAAAAACCTCTGACGATGTTTCCCTGTAATTGTAACTCTTGCTCCTCCATTCTGGAGATTCCGAAAGAGTAGCACGAAAAATTGACACTACGACTCAGCGTCAAGAACACCCTGAAACAAGAAAGAATGTAATGTCAAGATGGAAATAAATTTGCATAAAAGGATGGAAATCCATTAGTTCTAAGTCTGAACCTTGATAATCATAATGGCTGCATCCTTGTGGAGAACCTCATTATACTCCTTACAAGCAAAACTCTGCAAGATGCAAAAGCTAAGAAGCTAATCCTGATAGAAGCGGGTTAAAATGCATTTAAGAGTGAGGCTGACTTGAATACAATGAGGGCAACCGATATCTCCTGGGCAGTGGCATGATTTGAGAAGCTCCAGAGCAGAAGTTAACAGTTCCATGAAAAAGGGTTGAACCTATAGCACATAACCGTACATACACAGTAACAATCCAAACCTAGTTTTTGCATTAAGGTACAGGAACTCCAAAAAATTCCAATTCTATGACTTACCTGTACTGACACACCTATACCTCCAGGATGCTGATCATATAATAGAATTCTTTCTGGAAAATAGCGGGTGTCGTGAGGGTTTGCACATTCTGGGGCCAAGTCGGATGAGTTGCATATAATACGACTTCATGTAAGTCAGCACAATGCAGTTAGACTTGCAATTGATTTAAAAACACAAAATGAGTGACAGAAATTTCAAGAGATTTTCTTTTTCTTTCCAAGCGACAAGCTTCAATTTCTTCAAAGATTGTAGTGCCAGATTATTTTAAATTTCATCTGGAAGCAAAGTAATAAAAAAATGCATGCGCTATGTCAAGCCAACACATTCAGGAATATATATATAATATATATAATATAACAAGTTTATGACTTACAGAGGCACCACATTCAAAAGAGCATGAGAAGCAGCATGCAAGCCTGCCCGAAAATCCATATTTTTCATCTCTACCGCTGATTTTGTTGACTGTGGAACTGGAACCCACACTGCCTGTTTTGAGAATGTGAAACAAAAGTATGGATTAAAAAAATAAAAAAATAAAAAAAATAAAAAGAGCATGAAAACAAGCTACGATGACAGATTAAGAATAAGTTCATTAGAGCATCCAATAGCATCAATCTGCAATTAAATGTACCTGTGACATGTATGAATACTTAGGAAGTACAAGATCAACTGTATCAAATATTTCGTTGCTTCTTCTCCACAGACGATGAAAGCCAAACCAAGAAGTCGTCACCTTGCAAGGATTTACTCGGGCAGTCGTTCTTGAGCACTGATTGTTGTAAACCCCAGCTGGATAGGCCTAAACAAAAGTAGAAGAAGCTCTAGGAGAGTGTTTATTAATCAACAAAATCACCATACCGAAGGCCAATGGTGAGGAGAGCCACTTGCAAATGCTTACATAAATGGAAGACATCATAAAAAAGGTGGATAAATTACATAAAGAGAAAATTTTGCATAAATGGAGGACATCATAAAGAAAGATGGATAAATTACATGAAGAAAAAATTGAACTTTTTTTTTCCCTTTTCCAGAGTTCTTGCTTCTCTTCTTCATTTGACAACAACTTAATACAGGTGTCAGGTTGTGAATAACTATCCGATTAAACATGAAAAAATAATTTGCAACAGATTTCCCCTTACCCTGGAAGACAGCACGTTCAATTTAATATCCAGGTTAGAGCTATCCTAATAAACTCAAAACATATTAAATTCAAGCACAAAATACAAGAGAACCTTTGCATTTCCAATGTTTTCACAATATGGACCTGAAAGAACAAGAGAATAAACGTTAGGAATGGGCGTACAATTTTACCACCAACAACTTCAATATCTGTGCAGTCTCTCGATTTTGTGTAGTACTTCAAATCAGCTACTTTGCACAAAGCAATCTTATTAGACAAGTCTAAGCTGTTGACAAGGTAGGTTTTTCCTTGGCGCATATATACAGCACCTTCATACACCTGAACGATGAAAAATCAATAAAACAAAGGAACCGGATTCAAAACTGTCGGAATCAAGAAAGAGGATAAGGATCATTGACCGGATCCTAATCTAATCCGGTAAATGAGACTTTAGGGATAGAATTAGGACGAAGTTATCTTCTTATTAGGAAGTAGTTATCTTGTTTTAAGTTTTATAGATTTCTTAAGATAAGGATCTCCTTCAAGATAAGGGATCCCGGTTAGATTATTTTTCCTATAAATATTGTAAATGTTATACAGAGTAATAATAAGAAGGAATATTTTTTGTCCTAAAAACCTTCTTGGTATCAGAGCCGAAACCCTATATTTCCATCCATGGCCGAAACAGCCATTACTGAGGAAAGGAGATCCTCAGCTTCCTCTAGGGCAGAAAACCCTAATCACAGTGAACCAGACCGATCCACCATGTCTCACGGGGGGAGCCCTCTCATCTGCCATTCCAATTAACGCTTCATAAATTGGATGGTAAGAATTATCTAGAATGGGCACAAACCGTGAAACTCGCCATAAACGGGAGAGGAAAACTTGGCCATCTAACCGGAGAGGTGAAGCAGCCCGAAGCAGGAGATCCAAAACTAAAAACATGGAGGTCCGAGAATTCCGTAGTCATCGCATGGCTGATCAATTCTATGGAACCAACTATAGGTAAACCTTATTTGTTTCTTCCTACTGCAAGGGATGTTTGGGAAGCTGTTAAAGAAACCTACTCTGATCTTGATAATTTTTCACAAATTTTTGAGTTGAAAACTAAGTTATGGAAGTCTAAACAAGGAGAACGTAAGGTCACTGTGTACTATAATGAGATGGTCTCTTTATGGCAAGAATTAGATCAGTGCTACAATGACGAGTGGGATTGTCCAACCGATAGTATAAGATTCATGAAAAAAGAGGAGAATGACCGAGTATACTTGTTTCTGGCTGGGTTAAATCGGGTTTTTGATGAAGTTAGGTCTCGAATTCTTGGGAGAAAACCACTTCCTACTCTTCGGGAGGCTTTTTCTGAAATTAGACAAGAGGAAGGGAGAAGAAAGGTTAAAACCTGAAACAGATTCTAAATCTATTACTGACAATTCTGCCCTTGTTTCAATGAGGAATGAAACTGAAACTGACAAGAAGAAGAAGCCTTGGTGTGATCACTGCAAGAAGCATTGGCATACACGTGAAAATTGCTGGAAAATCCATGGGAAGCCTCCGAATTGGAAGAAGAAGACTGCCACAGCAATTGCCGCAGATAACAGAGCTCTCCAAGCATCCAGTGAGGAACAAGAACAACAAAGTACTTCAGAGATGTCTCCCTTTACAAAGGATCAATTAGAGCATTTATACAAACTCTTCCAATCTCCACACTTCCGAGTAAATCCTTCTTGTTCCTTTGTTCAAACAGGTAACCTTGCCTCTGCTTTCCTTAGTGTCAATCCTCAACAAAATAGCTCCTGGATAATAGATTCTGGAGCTACCGATCACATGACAGGTTGCTCCCATTTTTTTTCCACCTATACTGTGTAGGGAACAAAAAAATTTGAATTGCTGATGGTTCCTTCTCGGCAATTGCTGGGACAGGAAAAATTGTTATTTCACCTTCCCTAATCTTACATGATGTACTCCATATTCCAAAACTTTCTTATAATCTTGTCTATCAATAAAATTGCAACTCTAGATTGTCGTGCCATATTTGATTCCTCTCAGTGTTTCTTTCAGGAAGTGGTCTCAGGGAGGATGATTGGCAATGCTAGGGAAAGTGAAGGCCTCTATTTTCTTGAAGATGGAACTAACTCCGGACAACAAGTTCAAAATACTTGCTTACATTCTACTTTTATTTCTAATGATATTATGCTTTGGCATTATAGACTAAGACATCCAAGTTTTTATTATTTAAAACATTTGCTACCAGATTTATTTAGAAATAAAAATCCATCTTTGTTTAAATGTGAGATTTGTGAATTGGCTAAACACCAACGTTCCTCGTTTCCTTCTAGACCTTACAAACCATCAAAACCATTCATGTTAATCCATAGTGATGTTTGGGGACCATCTAGAGTGTCAACAATATTTGAAAAAAAATGGTTTGTGAGTTTTATTGATGATCATACTCGGTTGACCTGGGTATACTTATTACGTGAGAAATCTGAAGTAAAGGAGATATTCCAGGCATTCTATACAATGGTTGAGACACAATTTCAGGAAAAAATAAGAGTGTTTAGGAGTGACAATGGTAGAGAATACTTTAATGAAATCTTAGGAGTAGTTTTTTCAAAAAAAGGCATAATACACCAAAGTTCATGTTTCGACACTCCACAACAAAATGGGATAGTTGAAAGAAAAAATAAACACCTCTTAGAAGTCACGAGGGCATTATTATTTACCCGTAATGTTCCTAAGTATCTTTGGGGAGAAGCACTCTTAACTGCAACCTATCTTATAAATCGTGTAGGAAATTAGAAGATTTTATCTTTTCAGCTTTTGAATTAAAGAGCCAAATCCCTTAGTTTGGGATTAGGATCCTAGGAGATAGGGAATTCCGGTTTTTCTAGATAAACACCGGATCTAGATAGGTTTAGATAAGATAAGAGCTTATTTGAATTTCTATGAGCTGTCAAGGGTACTTGGTATCCTATAAATTAGGTTTACGTTACACTAATAATAATAAGAGAAAAAAGTAAGTTTTTCCCTTCAAAACCTTCATTGTATCAGAGCCTTAGGGTTCTAATCTTAGGGTAGAATGGCAAAAACAGCCATGACAGGCGTAAACAGAGCCCAAACCTCATCTGAGGTAACCTCCGAAAACAGCCTAGATAGCTCCCTTGTTACCGGTGTTGACAATAGAACAACCGGTACATCCCCATAGATTTCCATTCCAAAATTTAATGGGAAAAACTACCTTGAGTGGTCCCAATCGGTGAAGCTTGTGCTTGATGGCAGAGGAAAATTAGGGTTTCTTACCGGGGAAGAAAAACAACCCCAGGAGAAAGATTCTGGCTTTAAAAGATGGAGGTCAGAAAATTCTTTGGTGACAACATGGTTACTAAACACCATGGAAACAACAATTGCAAAACCCAACATGTTCCTACCAACCGCCAAGGCTGTGTGGGATTCAATTCGGCAGACCTACTCTGATTTGGAAAATTCTTCACAGATTTTTGAATTGAAATCAAAACTGTGGAAATCCAAACAAGGAGACCGTGAGATCACAGTATACTACAATGAGATGGTAGCCCTTTGGCAGGAATTGGATCAATGCTATGATGATGAATGGGAGAATCCGAATGATTGTGCAAGGTATATGAAGCGTGAAGAGAATGATCGTGTCTACATGTTTCTTGCAGGAGTTAATCGAAGTCTAGATAAGGTAAAGGGAAGGATTCTTGGTCGAAAACCCCTGCCCTCTATCCGAGAAGTTTTTTCAGAAGTACGACAAGAAGAAAACAGGAGAAGAATCATGTTGAACAGCACAGCACCAACCCCAGAACCTGAGAATTCCGCACTAGTCTCCTGCAACTCAGGAGGATCCGACATAGAAGGTGAACGGAAAAAACGCCCGAGGTGTGATCATTGTTGGAAACCATGGCACACTAAGGAGACATGCTGGAAACTTCATGGAAAACCAGCAAATCTCAAGAAAAAATCAGAGGGGAATGGCAGGGCGTTCAAGACTACTACAGAAGACTCTCAAGAGCAGCCTATTGACTCGGAAGTGTTACCTTTCACTAAGGAACAATTAGAGCATCTATATAAACTCTTTAAATCTCCACAATTTATTGTCAATCCTTCATGCTCACTTGCAACCCAAGGTAATTCGTATGTCACAGCCCTTTCTAGTCTAGGTTCTTTCTCTTCTAGTCCATGGATTATAGACTCTGGAGCAACAGATCATATGACGAACTGCTCACATCTCTTCTCGTCCTATAGTCCTTGTGCAGGAAACAGGAAAATTAAAATTGCTGATGGATCTTTTTCGGCAATAGCTGGGATTGGTTCAATCAAAGTTTCCTCTCTCATAACTCTTAATAATGTGCTTCATGTCCCAAAATTGTCATGTAACCTCTTATCTATTAGTAAGATAACACAAGATCTTAAGTGTCAAGCTAATTTTTATCCAACTCATTGTGAGTTTTAGGAACTAGCCTCAGGGAGGATGATTGGCAATGCTAGGGAAAATGGAGGACTCTACTTTTTTAAAGAAGGACCAACTCCGAGTAAACCAGTCCAAAGTTCATGTTTTGAAGCTGTCTCTTTCTAGGAATCATGAAATTATGTTATGGCATTATAGACTTGGTCATCCAAGCTTTTATTATTTAAAACGTTTGTTTCCATCTTTATTTCTCAATAAGAATCCTTCTTCATTTCAGTGTGAAATTTGTATTCTTGCAAAACAACATCGATCTACTTATTCTCCACAACCATACAAACCCACTAAACCTTTTTCTCTAATCCACAGTGATGTTTGGGGCCCCTCACGAATTTCTACTCTTTTCGGGAAAAGATGGTTTGTCACATTTATAGATGACCACACTAGAGTAAGTTGGGTTTATTTGTTGAAAGAAAAAACAAAAGTTGGAGTTTTCAAAAACTTTTACACTATGGTACAAACTCAATTTAATGGAAATATTCAAGTCTTTAGAAGTGATAATGGAAAGGAGTTTTTTAATAGTGTTTTGGGGAATTTTTTTTACTGAAAAGGGGATTATTCACCAAAGTTCATGTAATGACACCCCTCAACAAAATGGAGTAGCTGAGAGGAAAAATAAACACCTTCTAGAAGTTGCTAGAGCCTTACTTTTCACACATAATGTTCCAAAATATCTTTGGGGTGATGCCATTCTCACAGCTACCTATCTCATTAATCGGATGCCCTAAAAAATTCTAGATTTTCAAACTCCTTTGCAAATCTTCTCAAAAACCTTTCCATTCTCTAGGGTCTTATTAGACTTGCCTATTAAACACTTTGGATGCACTGTTTTTGTTGACAACACTGATCAAAA